TCAGCGAATTCAATCATTTGACTCAATATATCTTCGAGACGCAACTATACCGAATCATACCGCCTACAACCTCTCTCCCAGCCATTCATACATTTAAATCCAGATATATTTAACATAGATCGTTTTAAAACAAACCTCAAGTAGCGACCAGAAAATTTCCCGTTAAATTCAAAAACCTATTCTACCTACATACTCTACACCAACCCATTTGGATCTGTATTACCTACTTACTTACTCTCTTTCACACAATATAAATATTTCTTTGAACCCACCAGATCCAAACTAGAGGAGAAGGAATTTAAGCCAGTGGGCTGTAAACAAGCCCCATATCTCCCCCTTCAAAAACAATATCCATCGCACCTCGCTCTCAAAGCTGTCAACTAAATATCCGCTATCGAAATTAAAGATTATTAAAGATTATTACCACCATGTGTAACATGTGTTTCACATCAGCCATTTATATTTCCTCGAGAATTTCACAAATTCCCAGACAGAAAGTCGTAAAAAAGGACATGAACACCGCTAATTAACATAGGCCCCAGTGACGATAGACTAAATATCTCGAGACACCATTCCCGCGTCAATAAATCCATTGCCACTCTTCCCCTAACTGACCCCCCAGTCCTACATTCCCCGTGTCCCGCATTCCTTTTAATTCCACACCTTTTACTACATTAGCAGTCGATATCTTAACCTAACTTTTTAAAACATTTAGATATTTGAATTTGAACAAGACCTACCTTAAATTGAACATTTTGATATTTTAATCCTGTGTAAATCTCTAATTTTTCTACATATCAAACATTTTACATGTTAAATTGAGATCACAATACACAACATTTTAGTAAATAATCCAAGAAATAAATTGCGCTTCTCAATTTTCGATTTATAAAACCTACACACCACATTTGTAACTTCTTTTTAGAAGAAATACTAAACCTTCATCTACTCATTGTAATAATCTTTAACTGTATTCTATTTTTGTATAAAATATTTCAAATTTTATTTTTTATTTTTTACCTTTCAATTATATAATTACAAGTTTCTAATCCAACATTATTTTTAAAAAAATCAATTTTACTTTTATTTTTCATTATATTATATCAGTATTACAAAAGATTTATTTGTTGTCAAAAATCACTTAAATTATTATTATTATTACTTTTATATATTGATTGTTTGATTTTGTTCACTTAAACTTTCTTCAACCACAATGAAAGTTCTATATTTTTATTCATTTTATATTTGTTTTTATATCTTTATATAAAATGACCATGTTTATCATCAACTATCGGGCATTCATCAATCTATTTCTCTAACCACTTCAATGCACTTTTTACTACAATCTATTTCTCTCTTTCTCTCTCTCTCTCTCAACCATTGTTTCCTATCAACGTAGAAAAACGACAGTACTGCTTGACTTTTTTTTTTTTGATTTCGTAATTTCAACAAACTCTTTGAACACAGTTCCCCAGATTTAAAATATTCCAACTTCTGGCTTAAACACGCTTCAGAAGTTCATTTCAATCATCCACAGAGCACAATTACCAACGCATGCACAAAGCGTTCACAATTCTTAATTTTTTTAGCTCTAGCGGACCACAATCAACCTTTGATTTCAAGTCAAGTCAGATCACCTACTGTCGATACAACAAGTTTCGCCGCATGTTGCCGCGTTTGACCGCAGCCGCTAATCTCAACTTTGGTTTTGGTTACCGCGCCTTGAGAACTCTGTATCTGCACGTTGTTGTTCCTGCTATTGCCAAAGCCTCGGCGGAATGGTTTCCTAATCTTTCTCAACGATCCTTATAAATATTCTACTGAGTGCTCAAAGGCATTTTCAAGTGAGAGCTTCCATATCAACCAGAAACGTTGTTCTTATCTCCCTTTCTAGAGTTCTTCCTCTCGGTCTGGAAAGCGCGGATAAAACTGATCTATACTTGAAAAGGTATTGAGTGTTTGACGCTGAAATTCCACTCGAGCCTTCATCCCTTTTCTTATCCTCTTCCTTAGTCCCCTATTGCTCTGTCCTTCCGCGTGGCATATTATACAGATGGTTCTAAAACCAGAAATGGAGTTTGCGCCGGCGTTTACAGGTTCTCTGATCGATTGTGCACCTGAAATAGGTGAATCTCATGTCCTGTCCTCTCATTGTTTTGTTTTCAAGCGGAATTTTTTGGATTGGTTGAGTCATTTGAAAACGCAATCATATTACGAAATAATCAGACTTGAGGATTCTTCCTGGACCACCTCTTAGTCTTGAACTAAATTAAGACTCTAACTCTGGTAATTACCTTATCGACAGAACTCTGCTACTTATTCCGCGATTGAATCGCAATGGAAACAGGTGCACCATACGATGGATCAAGGTCCACAATGGGATTCGACGGCGCGGGTGGATCGGGAAATCAACTTAAGCAGCGACTCATTTGAGCGCCATGCAATCTCTGGTGTACTTTTGTGGTTGGTTGTCTTAGTACTGGTACCCTAAATGGTGATACTTGAAATAAGACCTCAATATATATATTACCAGTTTTTTTTTAATAAACAATTTTTAAATAGAAATTGTTATATTTTTATTTTTACAAAAGATAATCAAACTTTTCCCAGCATTTTCTGAAAGATTCCAGCTTTATCTAATTTTCCTATCTAATCAAGACCTGTCTTTCTTTTATTTTCTCTTGACTGGGGAATATAACCTTTTTGAACAACTTTGGTTAGCTGCAGCATCTTGATAATTTGATATAGTGAATTGAGGCTTGTCTGATTGCTGCATTATTTTGGCCTCAAAAATCATACACTTAGGTTAATAGCCCATAAATCCCTATTCTCTCTTCCATATTTTTGTACCCTCTGGTTAGTACCCTGTAGAACCATATTTACTCTTTCCCATAGGCAGTTCTGCTTAATCATTCATCAGTTTAGAGAATTATTTTTCAACGATCGAACACCTTCATAACCACGTGGAGAAAAGAATACGATGTTCCATACTCGCCTACAGACGCGAGCCATGTCAGCTGACGGCAAGGACCCATTCCCGCCTATAGAACCCTTCACATGTCCTGGGCTTGTGGCCGAAGAGGTCTCCGTTTCTATGGATAGGTCTTCTCAAGGTAAGATCCCCCAGGCCACTATTTCCTCTCCTTCATACATACATTGTGGATACTCTGACTGCTGGGAAGAGATAGATTCTCTTCTAATCAAACATTATCAGGAGGAGGCGGATATCGCTGCCCCTTAACTTCCTGCTACCACGCGTACTGGGTTATCTGATTCATTGAAAGCTGATGTGAAACTTATTTTTAACGCCTTACAGACTGATGTCTTGAGAATTTTCAAGAGGAATGTCAGGCCATTTGAACATGAGGTTACCCAATTTAGGAACAGGTTGGCTGAGCCTCCCTCTCCTCCTAAACCTGTTAAAATTAACCCCCAACCAGTCACCTCTACGATTTATCCTAGTTCCAACAAACCCACAACTGTATACTCTAGAATGCCAATGTGTTTAACCTAAGAGCAGACTCTAAAGAACAGTGTTAAGCATGTTAAAATTTCCTTTGACAAATTATCTTTTGAGGCCACCAGAGCCAAATTTGAACACAGTTTAATAATTGTTATGTGACCGCAGTAATTGGAAAAACAAAAAAAAACCTGTCTTTCATTTCCCCAATGCTGCAGAATCAAAGCGGGTTGTGGAAGGAATTAAGACCGCCAACATTTATGGCTTTGAGGTCTTAACGAATCCGACATTCAGGACAACACCAGATTTAAATAAAAATTGCGAAATATACTTCAGCTTTGGTCGCGCTAATTGGGATAGAATTTTTAAAAATTTAAACTAAAAAGGATATCTATATATATAAAAATGAATGAATGTGTGTGTGTGTGTCTGTCCTTTATGCCTGACCAAACCACTCATTGGAACGCCATGAAATTTTGGGAAGTAATTTAGTATAGTACTGAGAAGGTGTGTGAGAAATTATTTCTTGAATATCTTGAATATACTTAGAGTTATTTGCAGATTTGTAGATTTAACTCGAAAGCAGCGCCCCCATTGCGACGATGATAACAAGTTTTTATCTATAAGTCTTATTATCACTAAGTTTATTATCCTAAAGATTATTTATCAAAAGTAAGATTTTCTAACTATTAATTGCGCACAAATCAAAGTTAGTTTTATTATTTATCTACAACATATATACTGGGAGAATAGATAAAATGGTGATTTTGTAATGTAGAAAATTAGGAAAGACAAAATTCAGGATGACACGGCAATTTATTTGAGACAAGAATAATGATACAATTCCAAGGCAAAGATACTATTCCTTTAACTTCCAATTACCGAGGGAACCAATTAATATTGATTCTATTCAACTTAACGAGTATTTTTCAAGGGACCGGGAAAAAATGTTCACTAGATTAAACGATGATTTTGTAATGTAGAAAATTAGGAAAGACAAAATTCAGGATGACACGTCAATTTATTTGAGATAAGAATAATGATACAATTCCAAGTCAAGATACTATTCCTTTAACTTCCAATTACCGAGGGAACCAATTAATATTGATTTTATTCAACTTATCGAGTATTTTTCAAGGGACCGGGAAAAAATGTTCACTTTATCGAGAGATTCAAATTTACGAGTTTCAAATTATCAAAATATATCTTTTTTTATAAGTTTATATAGAATTGTTTTAACAAATGTTTGTTAGACAAACCTTTACTCGGGTAAAACCCGGGGGAAGCCGGGTAAATCCGTTAGTATACATATCTCTATATATAAAAAAGTCAATGTCTGTCTGTCTGTTTCGCGATAAACTCAAAAACTACTGAACCAATTGGTACCAAATTTTGCATGTCGCTTTTTATAAACCTGAGGAAAACTTTCGGCTACATTTTGATTAGTATTTTTGGCTATTTCTTTTTTTCATTTGAAAAACTTTTTTTAAGCGGAGTAATCCGGTATGAAATGAATACCCAAATATGGGCATTTTTTATACTCATCGGTGGTTCAGTGGTAGAATGCTCGCCTGCCACGCGAGCCGGCCGATGCATTTTTTTTTACAATTTTTAAAACTCATTTATATTATATACTAGCCGAATGACCCGGGCAACGCCCGTGTTTAACCCGACTGTAGATGTTACAACGGTGATGCTTAGGTCGCTGGTTCAAATCCGGCTCGAGGGAGCCGGCGAGCATGTGACCTCCCTGTGCGCGCGCATCCGTGACAGAGGCCGATGAGGAAAGACGGTCGTGACTATATATAGGGATAATATCTTATATCTTATATATCTTATCTTATATCTTCTTATATATTCTTATCTTATATATATATATATATATATGTTATATAATTTTTAAAAAATTAATAGAAATATAATAGAGATAAATGCATGTAAATATTATTTTATTTTATTAATCTGTTTAAAATAACTCTGTTGTTCTTGGCCACTAGATGGCGCCACCTTAAATATAAATAGATTGTTTTCTCTTTTTTAGTGTTGGTTAGGTAAGTTAGATTTTATTTTATATAGGTATGTAAATGGTGATATAGAATTAATTGTTAAAATTCTATATTTACTTAATTTAAAATATATACTTTTGCTCAAAGAGTTCAAAATAAACTACTTGAGACTGATTTTCTCTTTTTTAATTAAATTCAAGACGACTGCACCTTCAATTTTAACAAATCATTTTTTGGATTTACATAATTATAGAACAGCTAGCCGACAGGATTTGCCTAGTAATTCTCTCTAAAATGCCTCCGAAAATAGAAAAGCCAGTTGAGCAACAATCTTTTACGAGTAATTTTGATTTACCCAAATATGATGGACAAAATTTTGATGTTACTTCATGGTTAAAATTCTTTAATAAAAAATGCCAGCAAAACCATTATTATTTTTACTTTCAAGATTCTTGCCACGACTGCACCACCATTACCATATTCCTCAACGTGATCCAAAACAACAGAAAATATCTTTATATTTTTATTTATTTATATAAGATATATATATATATATATATATATATATATATATATATATATATATATATATATATATATATATGTATATAAACTAGCGGATGTGTACCCGGCTTCGCCCGGGTTTTTTCCGAGTGAAAGTTTGCCGAACCAATATTATTGATAATAACATTCTGGAACACATCACAGATGATTATGATAATAATATTCGTTACATTATAAATTTATAAAATATATTTTTCGAGCAAACATATCCTTTCTCTCTAATGAATAGATTTTTAAAAAGATATATATAAATAAAAATATCTAGAGATATACTACATGATCTTAGCCAAAAGGCCGAGAAACGATATTTTATATATAGAGATGAACTGGCCTCGTGTGTCTTCTGCTCGAGTGAATGTTTCGCTGGTAGATTTTGTTCCTGCCTACTAAAAATTATTATCTGGCTTCACCCGTGGTCTGCTTTAGTGAATATTCCCCTAAAGAATTTTGTTTATGTCAATCAAGCATGATACAGCAATATTGTCATAATCATTTCTGACTAAAAAATAATTGTTGCTCAGTACTTGATTAATTATAATTTTTCTTGGTTAAAAAAGTGCGACAAAAAGCACTTCCAGATTTAACTCTCTGTCCTGTTCAAAATTCAGCGAGATTAGTTATATATTGAGAGCGTGCATAGCCGACAAACATATCTATATATTGTTTGAGTCAAAAGGCGATCCATTAATTAAGATTATATAAAAGGGCGTACCTGGATCTGTTAAGAAAAAAAACAAATTTTTCTTAAAATCTGTGCAATAAATTGATAAAGAGGGAGCAATCTCTCGATATATTTTAAGAAAAAATATATTTTTTTTTCCTTTACAGATCCAGGTACGCCCTTTTATATAATATCTATATATGTTCCCGGCTTCGCCCAGTTTTTACCCGAGTAAAAGTTTGCCTAACAAACATTTGTTAAAACGATTCTAGCAAACATCCAATCCCTACTGAATTTATACTTGTCCATTCTCTCGATAATTTGAAAATTTTCCCGGTCTCTTGAAAAATACTCGATAAGTTAAAAAATGCAGTATTAATTGGTCCACTCGGTATTTTGAAGGTGAAGGAATAGTAACTTGCCAGAAACGAAGATTTGTAAATAGCTGTATTTGGCAAATGTACCCGGCTTCGTTCGTTTTTTCCAAGTAAAAGTTTGCCTAACGAACATTTGTTAAAACGATTCTAGAAAACATCCAATCCACCTATATATATATATATTTATAAACATATAAAATATTGTTATATGCGTTTAAATATATTTTCGAAACATAATTTTTTGAAAACATTTATTATATTTTAAATAAGATGTTGTCACTTTTGTGAATTTGAAAATTAATTATTTCTTTTTTTATCAATGAATTATATGAATTAATTTAAAAATTCATTTTTGTTATCATAATCACATACAATGTAATTTTTTATATAAACAAACGACAATAAACAACAACAATTGGTTAGTAGCCCCGTAAATAAATATATTTCCACAACAACAACAATGTAATTTGCATCTTCATTATTATAAAACAACAACAAATTAAATTAACAATATAAAAATATATTTTAACATTACATTTTAACATTTAACACAAAAACTTTACATATTTCCTTTAAATATATATGAATTTTAAAATGCCAAGTTTTTTTTTACGTCACTGGAATATTATATTACTAAATTCTCAAATTAAATTTATTATACTTTGAACACTTTTTAAGCATTGTTAAAATTTATAAATATAATTTCACCAGAAACCGCGAGAGGCGCTGCTTGCGAGTGAAAGTGGAAAATTTGCAAATGGTATTGCAAATAATATTTATATCAAATCAAATTCAAACCAGAAACCTTCCCAGTAGAATAGTAAATAACTTCCTAAAGTTTCATGGCGATTGGACAATCTTACCTTTTAAAAACATTCATCGTGTAAACACACTAACATTCATCGTGTAAACAAACCACGTGTAAATTATTAATCAATCAAATTCATTTATCGTCGCGAACAGTGCTGCGCCCAAGCGGTAAAAGGCTGGAACTAACGCTTTTCGGTTATATATATTTTTTTAAAAAGCACATTAACCTTTTTAGTTTTTTGAATAGCCTATATGTTAAACGATATCTTCAGCTACCTTAATGCGAAATTTCATAATGATTGATTCAGTAGATTTTGCGCAACGCGATAACAAACATCGATTTTGGATTTCATTTTTATAGATATAAAAAAGGAAAGGAAGGATAAAGGATAAGGATGAATGTTTGTATGTTTGTTTGTTTGTATGTCCGGTATACAAATTCGCAGTAGTTCACTAATTCAAACCAAAATTTCCATACATAGGTAAAAAAATACGGGGAAGACGATAGGCTATTTTAAAAAAATATATAAATCAATTATTAAAACTATATATTTTTAGTCAGAAAATGATGATGACGATATTGCTGTATCATGTTTGATTATCAGATACAAAATTATATCGGGAAAAATTCCAAAAAGCAGAGACCACGGGTGAAACCAGTTCATTATTTTGCACGCAGGAACAAAATTCTAACAGAAAAACATTCATTCGAGCAGAAAACAAAAGCCAGATCATCTTTCTATAAAAATATCGCTTCTCAGACACAAAGTTTGGAGCGGGACGTTTCACAAGAGTGACTTCCACGGCGCCAATTTATAATTGTAACGAATAGTATTTGAATAAAAACATTTAATCGGGTAAAACCCGAGCGTTGCCCGGGTCATTCGGCTAGTAAATATATATTATTATATTAACTATATTAATTAAATCAAATACCTAAACACTAATATAATACAATTTTTGCCATCACGCACACTTTTTCCTGCAGTTTATGTATTACTTCTGTATTGCTATTCTATGGCACTTCTAATATTTATTATTGATGTACTTTCAGTATGAAGGAAATTGCAATCGGGGGAATTCTCGAGCGAAGCCGGGTCATACGTCTAGTATATTGTCAAGCGGCACAGCGGTTCCAACTACGAGAGGCCCCATGGGACGCCTGTCAATCATCCCTGGACACCAGGGGGGTGAGGGGTTCGCGGAATCTGGCCGGCGGGGGGAGCTGACATCCCTCATTAGGATTAACTCTGTCTTGGGGTAAGTCGTACACTCTATCTCTCCCTTATAATAAACTAATTATCCCCAAACTTCCCCTTGCTTTATTTATCTCCGCGACATATTTTGGTATGACGCTGGGTAGCGTGACGGAACTTCGAAGAAGTCGACGTCTACAGGGACGTGAACCAATTCTTCAACCTTTGCCACAACGAATAGAAATGGAAGACGACCACAGACCTACTGTTAGCGGATCCTACCTCCCTTGTCAGCGCCAACGAGATCCTTCTACCTTTTCTGGAGATGGAAATATAAACCCTGGACAGTGGTTGAAAGAGTACGAGAGAGTTTCGAAGTACAACAGATGGGACGAGACCATGAAGCTTGCCAACGTCGTATTTTACTTGAACGGAACTGCTGGAAGGTGGTTTGATAATAACGAAGAATCACTCAACTCGTGGAGAAGCTTTGAAGACGCATTCCGCGGTGTGTTCGGACTGCAGGAGGATTCTGCTCGACGCGCCGAGGAAGTTCTGAAGTCAAGAGCACAGAAGGCCGAGGAATCCAGCGAGTCATACATCCAGGAGATTCTTAGTCTCTGCCACCAGGTGAACCCTCGTATGGAAGAAGGTGAGATAGTTGCTCACATTATAAAGGGAATTTCTGAGGACACATACCAGGTATTGGTGGCGAAAGACATACAGACGGTAGATGAGATCCTGAAGTTCTGCCGTCATCTGACAACCGTCAAGCAGCGCCGGATCGGCCGTACGAAATTCGCCAGGTTGTCAAACGTAATGCCCATTTCGTGTGTTGACGACTCAGACGACTTGGCCGGCTTAATTCGCCGCATCGTTAGAGAAGAGATACAAAAGGTTTTCTCAGCACCTGAAGTGATCAATCCGCTCCGAGAGGTGAACGCCCTGGAACAGACTGTGAGGGAAGATGTTAGCCGTGCTCTACAACCTAGCAGACCACAAGTCAACGTGGTACAACAACAACCACGAACGCCCTATTATAATATCGACCGACCAACCCAACCCAGAAAGACGGAACATTGGAGAACCTACGACGACAAACCTATCTGCTTCCA